GAGGGCAGGTCGATGTGATGGCTGGGGTGTTACCTAACTCAAGACCAATATGAAGAGGTAGAGAAAATACTATATTTTGGCACCTTAACTATTAGAAAAATAAATTTAATTGAATAAAAACTATCGTTTATAGACATGAATGTGGTAAGAAAGTGTTTAATGAAATAGAAATCTTTAAAAAATGCTTCAAAAAAACCGCCGCAAAATAAATAAATCGAAATTTTATTTCTATAACCTCAAATCTATTTAGACGATTCAAACTGGTAATGGTTTCTATTGAGTTCAATATACGCACCACATATTTACCTAATGCAAATAACATGCATTTAGATATAATTAAATTTCGTACATTTCTGTGTATTCCTGTGTTGTATAGCGTATGTATTCTCAATTTGAATATATTCTGTAAATTTTATGTTGTGCTTGTTGTTGTATGTGCATGTATGAGTGATGAAATAGAAATACCTTAATATATTTGTGGAGACCATATTTGTAATAAATATTTGTTTTTCGTTTTCACATTCCTTTATATTTCTTTTTTTATTATTTGCAAGTTCCTTTTTCATAAAATAAAATTATGAAGGTATACCAATATATTGTAAGATAGAATCCTCTGATGTATAAGTTGCAGTAACACATGAAAACTCCGTGGATTAGTTTCTTTATTTATTTATATATAAATTTATAAATAAAGAAACTTATCCTCGGAGTTTTCATGTGTTACTCCAACTTATACCAATATATGTTGATTTTGTACCCGATGGTGTCATCATTTGTATGATGTAATAAGAGATTATATATTAAAAATCTAAACTATTGTTACGTTGAATTGAAAGAAAATCGCGCATTCCAGAATAGAATGTTTCAGAACGTTCACGATTAATGAAGAAAAATCGGAGAACAACTGATTGAGCAATCTAAAGTGATTGCGCAAGGCTTAGCGATGGCGGCTTTCTGATTGGCTGACCAACCGTGACCGTTCTGGAAAGATCTACTCCAGGATATATAGGGAGGAGAAAAACATGCCGGGGGGAAGAAAGATAAGAAGTGAAGTCGAAGAACGAAGCTACGTGGTGTTCTCCAAGCAAGCTGCTGTCTCAAGAGGTCGGACTGCTGCTTACCACTGACGCCGGTTTACTTCCTGGAAGATTCTAGAAGGTTCTACCAACTTCTGTCTCCTGTTCTGCTCCTGCTTTCCCTCACCGTGCTGCAGTTGGTGAGTTTGTAACTCCTGTTCTCTTTATTGTTGTTTTATTTTTGCACTCTTCTGTAATTATTTTATTGATTAGGTTTAAATAAATCCCTAAAGATCCTTTGTACCCATATACTAGTATATTTATTTATTTCAACACACAAAACGCGATATCCCAGCTAGGGATAATTGCGTCGATTTGCATTTTTCAAAGCAGAAACAGTTATAAACATATTATAAAAGAAAAAGTAACCGAAATAAAAAGAGAAACAATAATATATATTAGGAACCTGAACCTTTCAGGTTTGAAAGATAATCATATATATATTAACAAATATAGTTAAACCTATGATAATTCTCTCTTCTATTTACAAATAGATATAGATCTACGACATTGTCTGTTGTCTAGCGGTGAAGAAGAGTGGGCATTCCAGAAGTAGGTGTCTCGAGTTCTCTGCCACAATGACAGCTAGAGTCTTCAACCGCGCCAATTTTTAATAAAAATCCCTTAAAATTTCCATGGTTCGTTATAAACTGGGTATTAACCCACGGAAGTTATTCTTTGTCAACCAACAACGCAACAATATTTTACATTAAAAACGACAAATGTTGGTGTTTTCTCAAACAACGACGGCATCAAAATATGAAACTTCCTTTTGTCCATGAGTGTATATACAATATAACCTTTCTCTAAAGGACAACATCAAGTTACAGAACCAAAGTGTGATTTAGAGAGATCCCGGGGTTTTACCCGATTAAATGTTTTATTCAAATACTATTCGTTACAATTATAAATTGGCGCCGTGGATGTCACTCTTGTGAAACGTCCCGCTTCAAACTTTGTGTCTGAGAAGCGATATTTTTATAGAGAGATGATCTGGCTTTTTGTGTCTTCTACTTGAATGAATGTTTTTCTGTTGGAATTTTGTTCCTGCATACTAAAAATGAACTGACTTCACCCGTGGTCTCTGCTTTTTGGAATTTTTTCCCAATATAATTTTTTATCTGATAATCAAACATGATACAGCAATATTGTCATCATCATTTTCTCTAAAAACAACTATTTTTGCCAGGACACCTGTCAATTTATTTTTTCTTGGCTAAAAATGCGACAAATATCTTCCCATCTTTGGACACTTTTATTTTTCCGTTCATCATTACTCTTCGCAAGTCATCCTTTCACACTTCATCTCTGAGAATGGAAATAATCGTTATTTCTCTTTGAAATAAATTACAATTTTTCTTTTAAAAGAAACATTTGCGGTGAAATTTGTCAAACGTTTTCCAGATTTTATTTATCAACAAATATTAACAAACTCCTTATTTATTTTTAACTAAACAGCTATTCTTGTTAGATTATATTCCAATATGAGGATGGGGAATTTAACAGCGTCTTAAAACTTTATTATATCAAGACAAGGCGTTCACAGCAGTGGAGGTTATAAAGATATCTGCTAAGCAGCCAAGTGGGAAGCAAGATTGAAGGATTATGAACGACCATGGTGGTCCAGATTAAGCCCATAGAAATCTGCGTTCAAATATTTAAAACTTTTTATCACCGAGCATATTTTTGGGAGGCTCCATAAATCCTTGATGGAGCACTTAGAATTCCCATGTCGCTTAATCCAGTGGATTAGGTATCCTAAGATATACAGGTCGTAAAACTGGGTAGATAAACTTGGAAGGAACTTTTCAAATTACTGTATTGGTTGGCTATGTCGTATTCTATTTAGATCCCCGCTCAAGATATTTGATGTAAATAGGAAGAAATATTGGAAAGAATCACTACTGATAAACCAAGCCTTCAAAAAATCTTCCACTTCTTCAGTTCAATGATTCTTACAATTCGTTCTCAATTGAAAACAGAAAAAGTGTTGAATAGTTAGTTACATTTACTATATATACATAGAGTATTGTTTGTATAAGTGAATTTTACAAATAAAGCTATACTATGAAATCAGTTTCCGATTTCATAACTCTTCTCGAAGCAGCCCCTGTACTGATCTTCTTTCTTATCTCCACTCAACCATATTAGGGTATTAACACGTGATCCTTGATGGTGTCAGACAACCATCATGACTGGGTGAAGTAAAATGCGTCTGCCTTTGTCATTAAGACTGAGAGCACTACTCAGTGGCAGGCTGACTTAGCTCCAAAAGAAATGACCGCCTCTGACACGAGGAACAGACGCCATGTGCAGCAGCTCCTAACAAGGAGTACAAACGCTGCTCATCCTGTATCCTTGTATCCCTTACAGGGTACTATCAGCCAGGCCAGCTGAACCCAGGTTTTAGCGAGCTTGTTACTGCTCCCCCTCCTACTTTTTCAGCCGGGCTTGGGACCGGCAAAGGCGGAGTTCCCTATACTGATGCGGACCATAGCCCGAACCATTGTATACAGGTTGGAATTTGTCTGAATTTGTCAAAGCTAGTGTTATGGCTCATTATTTATCATCACTAGTAAAGTTTCTTCACTCAGGTGATGAGCATAAATCATCGTTCAGATGTATAATTAAAGGGAAAGATTATATATTTCCAATATTTCGATGGACAAATCTTCCATCTTTTACGAGGCTTTTGTTTTGAAGCAAACAGCAGGTCGCGGTAAGCCATGGTCGTCTTACAAGCTTATTGGGCGATAACCCATCTATGATAGACATTCTAAACAAAAATAAATATAATAAAAAAAAAACAATGTGATATATATAAATGAATATCAATAATTAACTTATTTTGAATTAATTAATGAAGTAAATAACAAAAAAAAAAAGAGAAATATTAAAAATAATATCCTCACATAAAACTCTTCACCCCAAGTTTTGTACTTTTAACAATAGTTAACATTTCTTATGTGTACAGTAGTTCATAAGAAACGCATCCCAAAGCAGAATCATTCAGCATCTGGACCTACTTGCTCTTTAACGATGGCTATACTTTGACATTGACCCTGCCGTTTCAGGATAGCGAATGCTACCTTCCTAGGTACCCTGCTCCTTGGAGAATATTTAACAGTGTCCACATTGTAACAACCCAAATATTTCAAAATATCAGTACGTTTTGATTGGGAATAAGTAAAGTCATGTTTCGATTGAAACACGCCGCAAAAGAAAGAGCCATAAGAAACAAAGCATCTATTTATAAATTATTATACATATTTATTAACAGAGAGAGACAATTGAAACACTTTGACATCTAGCCAATAATACATTTTAAATAAATGAAAAATAATGAGAATTTACAATGATTTATGCGCTAGGGAGACTCCACTACCTTGATTGGGTCCTTCTCCAGACCAGGATAGAGAGATTGAGATTAAAACTGATTTATTTCAATGTTCATATAAGATTATATAAGGTTAAATACAAAATAAATATAAATAATATTAAATAAGGATAAATATAGATAAATAAATGTAAAATATAAAATTGATAAATACACATATATATAAATATATACAGTCTTCATTGGTAGAGCCCGCCGCAGGAAAGACTCCGTCACCGATGGAGTGCGAGAGTTCTTTCCCACAGAGTGGGCAGGTCGAGGTGATGGCTGGTGTTACCTACCTCAAGACCAAGATATAACTTGTAGATGGTAGCCTTACTGGTGAACTTCATTGCCTCGGGATGGAGAGAGAGAGATTGAGATTGAAACTACTTTGTAGAACGACATTTGAAAATTATCCCGCATGTGTTTCTTTTGAACGAAAAATCGAAATTTATTTTAAAGAGAAATAACGATTATTTCCAATCTTAAAGGATGAAGTATGAAAGGATGAATTGTGAAGAGTAATGATAAACAGAAAAATAAAGTGTCCATGGATGGGAATCGAACCCACAGTGTTCCGCTTACCGGGCAGATGCCATGTCTACCTTTAAGCCGCATTATATTGTACAGTAGACTCTCCTATAACGCGAGTTTTCACAACGCGATTTCGTACAACGCGATAAAAAAAAATTGCGACAAATTTATTTATAAAACGCGAATTTTCGTATAACGCGTTATAAAATAAAACAATTTACCCTAACAACATTCGCGTTATACAAGTTTTATTTCGTACAACGCGAATTCCTATAACGCGATTTCATACAACACGGAACACATTAATCGCGTTATAGGAGAGTTTACTGTATTATAAATGAAACTACTTTATTACGTCGTTTATATAAGGTTAATATAAAGTAAATATAAATAAATAAATAAAGATAGATAGAAAGGGAAAATACGTTTATCTAAACAGACGATGTCTATACAAAGAAGACGTATAAAACCTCCAAAGAAGAGCCTGGCTGTAAACCCGCCATGGAAGTGCGATGTAATTGTCCCGGGGAACAGAACGTAATTGTGTTAACTGGGCGGTGTAGTTTTCCGAATGACGGCACAGCGCGTCAATTTAGATAGGTCGGTCTTAAACCATTGCGGCCATTTACCCAGCCATTGTTTGGATGGCCACTGGTATTCTTTAAATCTTTGGCTGAATTCCATTAAATCTTATTTAATTTATATTATAAAAAGCGTATCTGGTAAAGAAAAAGTAAACATTTTTGTATTCAAATATTTCGAGAAATTGCTTCCTCTTTATCAAAGTTATTTCCATATGATCGACAAGAATTGGTAAATTAAGTTTATTGTATAATAAATTGATAAAGAATTCTCTCGAAATATTTTTAGAGAATTTTATTTTTCTTTATAGATCCAGATACTCCCTTTTTAATATAAATAAGATTTAATGGAATTCAGCCAAAATTTTAAAGGATAGCAGTGGTCATTTACCCAGGCATTGTGTGGATGGCCATTGTTATTCTTTAAATCTTTGGCTGAATCCCGTTAAATCTTATTTAATTTATATTAAAAAGGGCGTATCTGGATCTATAAAGAAAAAAACAATTTGTCCTAAAATATTTCTAGAGATTATTCCTTCTTTATCAATTCATTACACAATAAACTTATATTATGATGCACTAGCGCGCCATCTGTTATAAAAATTGAAACTATTTTAGGCGCGTAAGATTCTTTTTGAAATTAAACAATTTCTACTGCCCTTACTGCAATGGAAATATTAATGGGAGGGTCTGGCTCATCAGTGGTGAACCCTCCCAGTGCAGTATAAATTGTTTAATTTCAAAAAGAATCTTACGCGTCTAAAATAGTTTCTAACAGTGAACTTAATTTACAAATTCTTGTAGATTACATGAAAACAACGTTGATAAAGAGGGAGCAATCTTCGAAATATTTAGAAAACAAAAAATCGTTTTTTTTCTCTTTACAGATTCAAGTACGTCCTTTTTTATATAAACTTATTTGAAGAATCGTCTTTTAACTCAAACTTATTTCATTCATTAATATATACATGAAAAATAATACAAAATTGGCCAATTCTGTGTGTGTGTGTGTGGGGGGGGGGGGATTAATTAAACAAATCAACGAATAGTCGATATTTATTCCGATAGATGGCGAAACCCATCAGCAAATTTTAGTTACACGATCAGAAAATGCGTTTTTTTCTTTGATATATTGTTGCACCAAGTTGCAGCTTTGCAGGGTCGTCGACCTTGGTTTCTTCCATCTTGGTGTGATACACGTTTCCCGAGGGTGTTTCCATACTCAAAGCAAATAAATAAAAGTAAATAAAAATAAATTACCTTTTAAAGTTATTGCGTTTATTTATTCGTTGTCTTCCTCGTAGGTCGTGATCCACAGTCTAGGTCCTCTCTCGCTCCAATAACCAATCAAGATATATGTACAATAAAATATTACAAAAGGAATGATAATCTAAATAATCAGTTTTAAATAAATATTAAATATCATAGAATATTTTGAATAAATGTAGGGCGCATTAAAATTGATGCAACAATGGATATGTTATATTAAAATATTATTTTATTTAAAATTATATTTCATAGATTCAAATATTCTGTCTGTATCTACCACCAGATGTCGGGACTTCCCCTATAAAAAATAATTGTTGTTGTTTCCCGATGGCCGGCTCAAACCTTTTGTACATTATGTAAATAATCTTTTGTTTTCCCTTGTTCTACTCACCTTAAGCCAGGCAGTACTTTTATGAAATTATGTTTTTTCATATATATTCCTTAGCTCAAATAAAGAAATCTCTGATCAAAACTATTTTATTATTCCCACGACTGCAAAATAATATCGTAAAATACTCATGGATACCAAAATCAAGTAACAGCTAATCTACTTATATAATTGCCTTATTCTGTCTGTCTGAAGTTCACTGTCTGAAGCTCACTGTCTGAAGTTCACGGATAGAATGCGCGCCCATTGGCTGCCGGCGAACACGTGGCCTCCCTGTCCCCCTCTAGACAACCCTGTTATCAGCTGTGTGATACATACACCTGTCTATAGCGGCCATTCTAGACAACCCTGTTATCAGCAGTGTGTTACATCCACCTGTCTATACAGACCACCCTGTCTATAGCGGCCACTCTAGACACCCCTGTTATCAGCAGTGTGCTACATCCACCTGTCTATACAGACCACCCTGTCTATAGCGGTCACTTTAGGCAACCCTGTTATCATCAGTGTGTTACATTCACCTGTCTATTCAGACCACCCTGTCTATAGCGGTCACTTTAGGCAACCCTGTTATCATCAGTGTGCTACATCCACCTGTCTATACAGACCACCCTGTCTATAGCGGCCACTCTAGGCAACCCTGTTATCAGCTGTGTGATACATCCACCTGTCTATACAGACCACCCTGTCTATAGCGGCCACTCTAGGCAACCCTAGGAAGCAAGATGTATACAAGGTCAAGGGATGGGAATCGAACCCACGACCTTCCGCTTACCGGGCAGATGCCATGACCACTAGGCTATAGGCTCATTATTTCTTTATACCGTTATTATACCGTTATATTATATATAGTTAAAACATTTTAAAAACACACAGTTTGGAACGGGACGTTTCACAAGAGTGACATCCATGGCGCCAATTTATAATTGTAACGAATAGTATTTGAATTAAAACGTTTTTAAAATATATTCGCACTCGGGTAAAACCCGGGCGTTGCCCGGGCCATTCGTCTAGTAATATATAAATAACAATCAAAATACAAGCAGAAAATATCTTTCATTTTTAATAACATATATATAATAAAGTGTTGAGAGAGGATGAGCTTCATTTGTTAATAGGATACTCCTGTTAAAAAGCTGATAAATCTGAAAACTTGAGAAAATAAAAAAGTTGTTCAAGAAACTTAGGACAGTCGAGCGTGTTTGTTTCATCAAAGGAATATTGTACGAAATCAAATTGACCCCTGTGTATACAGAGGTGATATTTACAAATATACCCAGAATAGAAGCACATGTTTTAATTTAAATTTTAATTGGAAATCTAAAAATAAACTGGAGATAAAAACAGAAAACTTTCATGGCTAGGAGTTTAAAGAAAATATTGTTTATTTTGTTGTCAACGTATCTCTTTCTCTCAAGTCTTAATGGTAAATCCAAATTAAAATATCCAATTATTTTAATAGTAAAATATTTATTGTTACCCATTTATTTATATCTTGTATATTATTTTCACCTTTTATTTTATATTTGAATTATAAAATACATATATTGATATATTTAATAAGTATGATTTTTTTAATAATGTGGAATAATGGACGACGTCCGGACGGCTCAGGTGACGACTGTAAACAAACAAGCCCCAGCGGTGCCAGCCGCCAACAAAGGACTAGAACACGGCTTGGTCTGCTACCGACCAGTTGGGTGTTTTCCTCTGTCCTCTTAAGATGTATTGAATAAGGTTAGTTAGAAGGAGACTTTTACCCTCTCCTTTCTGCTATTTAGTGATCTTTTTTAAATCCTTGCAACAGCCCACAAAGAATCACCACTGCGAATTCTTCTACCGAACTCGCACAGTGTTTAGTGAAACGACATTTCTTCACAAATAAAATATTTTCTACTGCCCTTACTACATTGATAAATTGACAATTTGACAATTAAAATAATTTTATCGACATCTTGTCAATACATACAAAAGTACACAGTCTGTACTATTAAAAAATATAATTATATATATGTAGTATATTTTAAGGTAGATAGAGCACAATCTTCTTCTAATGTTTATTATAACCCCATATCTGTATATAAAAATATGTATCGACCTTGTATAATAATAGAAATGACAAATAAAACAAAAGGAGTAGAGGTAGTACAGAGGACAAAGGCCAGACGTGATAAACAACCCAGACTAACAGGTGTTTATGCTAATGAGTTCATTCCCCCGTCAGCAGGTGGCCGACACGTGGCCAGACATCATTAATAACCAGCGCTTGACAGGTGGCGTGATTAGGACAGCCAATCAGAACTCGTCAACAAGAGCCAGAGTCGAGTATATAAGCCCCCCAAGATTGGGACAAGGAAAGAGTTGCGTTTTAGTTGTTTCAGGGCGACGCTGTCATACGGTCGGTCAGATCTCTCACCCCCCCCTTCTATCCGCGATGTAGGGCATCCGTGACGTCCATGGTCCGACTACCTTCGTCCGTGGTCTACCTCTACCTTCCTGGAGTTACCATCTAGACCTGCCTCTGTCTCTTGCTGTCCCAGTGCGGGAATCCCATCACGCACCCACTACCACGACTGCCCAGCACATTCCACCTCGGGATTACTACAGAACCCGTTAAAGTCGACAGGATGCCTGAGGACAGCAGCGTGCAGAGGATGACGGAGGTCAGAGACAAGTACGTCGCGGATGCCCTCACCAACATGCAGCCCCACTACGAAGATCTAGTAAGCCGCCTAACAGACGCCATTCGGAGACTAGCCGTACCTCGTGCGGAGGAAACCCTCATCTCCTCTTGCGACGGATCCCACACAACAAGCAGCCTTCTTCCATACAGCCATCTCCAGA